TGTACTCAGTTCTCTGAAGGAGCTGCTATGAATAATGAGTTATTCAGTACATATTTAAAGATGAATTGATCTTAAGGTAATTTGGGTTTGAAATTTTGAATCACCATACATTTCTTGCCCCAACTCCTTTTAAACAAGCACTTAAAAAAAGAAAAGAAAAGAAAGGAAGCTAATGGTGTTTCTTTAAAAATAGGTGCACTTCCTTAAGGGAAATTCAGTGACATCAGCAATGTGTAGGTGTCTAATTTTACAGAGAACAATGTAAGAAATACATGATTTTTCATGTAAAGAGTAATTATATTTTGGGTGTTGAATATTTTATACAACTTTGGAAAATAGACAAGGCCTATAACATATCTGGTTAATATCTGCATTTAAAGATTTTTATGAGTCAGGTGAAGTGGTCTGTGTGAGAATTTCTGTAATGCATATTCTTTTTAATTTCTTTTTTGTTCTGCTTTGTTTGCTGTTATGTGTTTTAAATCTTCTGGTATGTCTTATTGGTAGCTTATTTGGTTGAATGTTGTTCATAAACTGAGCATCCTTGCTGAATGAAAAGATAGGATATAAATTACCCAATCACTTTTTAGGATGGAAGTAGTCAAGCATTGGCAATGGACTAGGAAATCAGAACACTCCAACTTGTCTTGACTAGTTTGAAACAGAAAAAATTCCAAGCATAGTGTCCAGAAGTTTTTTTCCTTGTCCTATTATTAAAACACAAACATATATGCAAATAATATTTAAATCCCCCCCCAAAAGACCAATTGAAGAAAGATTTGGAAATACAGTAATCAATTTACTCAGTTTAAATGAGGCTACCGCATAATGTGGCCCTTAAGACAATATCTCAGCCTTCTTCAATATGCTGATCTCAGGACGTTTTGGGACTGAATTCTGACAGTTGTGGTAACACATCTGGAAAGCACTATCCGGAGAGTGCCATGTTAGAGTAGATGGCTATGTATCAACAAATTTGATTAGGATTTAAGGGTAGATAAAAATGAAAAGAAGCTGAAGGTGTCCATAAAACGTGTTTAAAAACTAGGTACCACTCCCTTTTTAACCAGAGCATATCCTTTGACTCTAAAAAAGGAAA